TCTACACCTAGGTCCTGAGCAATGACAACATCTGCATTATCTCCAGATACTCAAGTTTGGGGGACAGACTGACATGCCAGCAAGTACAGAAGCAACAAGGAACACACCACTCTGAGAGGGGACAGGGAAGGTGTTCCCCACAAAGTAGGAACCACTTCCACATGGGGGAAATCAAATAAGGAATAAGTGAGTACGCCAAGCCATACATTATAAGCCAGCCACCAGCATTCTCCAGAACTAACCAGCCCCACAGACATAACCACAGGACTTACAGACACACATACTGAGCCTGTTCCCACTGACTCTTGGTCACAACTTTATTGAGATGTCACACCATCAGTGTGACCCTAGCCCAGCTCTCCTTGGAAATTACAGAACCTAAAACACATCCTATAAGACATGTTAACAGATCTTTGCTCCTCTTGGCACTTACATATAGAATTTTTACTATGTTGATTTCACTCACTCAATTTTTTCTTTCATGTTTCCTACATGTATCCTAACTCCCCCATTAGTCTGGGTGATTTTTGAGGGCAGGGACATTTCTTCCTCTGCATTGCACAAAAATCAACAGAGAATGAACACATTCAATAAATAATGCTAAGTGGTTTCCCTTATGGTTAAAATGTGTCCATAACTAATTCTTTCCCCTTGAGTTCTTCTTGAATCTGAAAGTGCTACCAGGGCCTCTCCTCTGCTGATACGAAAGATTTATGTGCTTCCTCAAATTTGTTTTGCTCTAACCAGGTTCCTTATCTTTCTAAAATCTCGAATTCATTTTCCTGCTCCTTGGCCAATGTATACTGTATATTCACATAAAAGAGTATTCCTCAATACTTCAAAGTCTAGCTCTTGTTAGGATAATAACAAACATGTACTGAGCAATATATTTTATGAAATAGAAGGCCTAGCTAGGTCTTAACCTCAAGCAGTTTGTAAGTGCTCAGGATTCATGAATCATTACCATGGACTAGTACCCAGAGCCCTAACTAAGTCACTAGCCCCCAACCTGTTTTAAGATATTTCAATTGTATTTAAAAGGCCCAAGTACCAGGCCTCTTAGCTGTAATTCCACTGACCTGACTCTCCTTCCTGGCATTGCTCATTTGCAAGCCCTGCGACATACATACCACCCAGGCTGGGTTGGCATACCCGCTTATTGCTGTGGGTGGCTCACCAGAAAAGGGAAAGGGCCTGCCTGGGGGAGAGAGATCAGAGTCCAGAGGAGTCCTGAGGCAGCACACAGTCTTACCGCATCAAACTCCGCTTGATCATCCTCAGGCAGGTCGCTGGTTTCATAAACATCTGGCTCGTTCCTGGCCTGCAGGTAGAAGCAGTGACCACCCAACCTCACTACCCAGCATCCACCAACACCCCTGACCCCACTCCATTTGAACAAGTTAACAGAGAAAGCAGGCTGTGACGCCACGATTCTGCCCCTTCTTTCACCTGCCCCGTGACCTGCCTGTCAGTTCCCAGGTCTCAGAGGGGTGGGGATAACAGTGGGGACATCTGATGCTTAATGGTGAATGTTAAGTGATGACAAAGACGTCACCCTGAATCTGAAGGGGGGCGGGTCCTCGGCACTCATGTCAGGCGGAGAGGAGCTATCATTAGGCCCTGTACACACTACCCTGGCACAAGGGCTGAGAGTGACTCAGGACCTTAGTACCCAAGGTCCTATCCCAACCCCCACCCCGAGAATGCAGGCAGGGCAGCACAAAGGGAGGGTACATGCCGGCCTGTGCGGGGGTGGTTTGGGAAGGAGGTTCCCCAGAGGACATAGTTCTCCATCTGGCACAAGAGGGGTTCTGTCACGGTAACCTCTTCACTCTTGCCAGGGTGAAGGCCATCACCAAATGGTCTGGTATGTGTGTCTCGGGAGGGGGTGGGGGGCTCATGGGAAGATTTGGGGAGACACGGGTGGTGTTGACACGGATGGCAGAAGCACTCGAGCACAGTGCTAAGTGCCTGGAGATGATTTCTGAGCCGAGAAACCGGCGACTGCCGGAAAGGGGCCTTGTAGGCCGTCCCACGGCCCAGCCCAGTCGGGTCGAAGGAGTCCGGAGGGTGCAGCGGCCAGTCGGGGAGCTAGCGGCGGGAGCCCTCGGGGCGGAGGAGGGGTTTCAGGCGGGAAGGGTCACGGGTTGCTGTCTGTTGGGGGTCCTTAGGAGGTCGGGGGCGCGGTCTTGGGGAGCCAGAGCCGGCCGTGTACTCACAATGCCGGGAAGGTCGGCGTATTTAGGGTCCGCCATGGCGGCGGCGAGGCGGGGTTGGGGGACCGGGGCCTCGGTGGAGCCGGGGCCGGTGTTCGGGTAGGGGAGAGGCTGGGTCCGGGTCCAGGATAAGGCGGCCGCAAAGGGAGCGGCGGAGGAGGCGGAGGAGTAGGAAGTCTCGCGACAGGAGTAGTACAGGGGAAGGGTGAAGCAAAAGTCGCGAGAACAACCCGCTACCACACCCCTGGAGTGACAGGGATTGGCGAGAACAAGACCTGGGAATGACGTGGTGGCGGGGAAGCGTCGCCTAGGATTGTGGGATATGTAGTCTTGGACGATCCGGCTTGGGCGGGTGACGGACAATAACGCGCCTTGGGAGTTACCTCGTACGACTTATTTTCTTTCGTTTTTACGTCGAGTCTGTGAAAGAGCTTTTATAATTCCTGTTTCTCGAATAAATTTGGACTCCCAGAAATTAAATGACTAGGTAAAAATAACACAACTAGGCATGCTATGGCACAGCCAGGGCTTCGAAACAACAATAACAACAAGTAAAATTTAGTAAAGATTTAGTCATGTTAGGAATGAGAAAGTTAAGTAAACTTCTCAGGTTAGGGCTGTCAGGTAAAATACAGAGCACCTAGTTAAATGTTAATTTCGGATAAACAACTAAGTCTTTTCAGTATAAGTACGTCCCATACGGTATGGGACATACTAACACACACAAATTATTAGTGTTTCATCTGAAATTCAAATTTAACTGGGCTTCCTGTTTTTGTTTTTCAAATCTGGCAATTCTACCTCAAATAGAATAGGCACTTGGTAGCACCATGTCTGTCTGAATACCTTCTGTGCTCTTAATCCCTTCACTAATGGTTTTCAGACTTTTGAATTTCACAGTTCAATACAATTAAAACAACAAAAAACCTTTTTGAAGATAAGCATAGTATTGCTACCTTTTTATTTTGCCAAGTAAGTACATTAAAAAAAAAAAAAACTACTCTCTACTATTACCATCATTACTTAGTAGAAAAGTATGGAAGGACATACAGTACTCTCAGAATAAAAGTCCTTTGAAACAACAAATTCAGCTTTATTAAAAAAACTTACCACATTCCACATTGTGTGGTGGCTTTTGGGGGGAGGGATGCATACACATGAACTTTTTTCTCTGGCCAGTGACCCTCTATGGACTAGCATTTTGAAACTCCTTCACTAAGGATGCCATCCTGGAACGCTTGGGCGCCTGAGGTTGGGCTATTTCCTGAGCTTGCAGGATGCTGCAACAATTAGAAATAGTGCCAGACCAAGTGACTGAAGAGATGCCTATATTTCTGAGTTTATAGGAACTCATAGTCATTCTATGTGTCCTCTCCTGGCTCCTCCCCAAGCCTCTTTCTCCATAGTCCTACTGCCTACCCATCCAGCTTCTTATGCTGAACCCTTTTCCTTCAGTTTCCTTAAGATTCAAGGTGAGTTAGGGGTATATGTCCAACTTGGAGACCCCTTCATCTGCCTTCCGAGTGGTTAGGTCTTGTCTGGCCAGGCCATCTTTCTCTCCTCCTTGCCTCATAGTATAGTATCTAAGTGACCCTAGACACTTACCAGGCAATTGCTAGGCAGAACCTCCATCCCCTCCTCCCTTCTTCTCCCATCACCCTGCTCCTCCCCTTGGCTTAGAGCCTCAACTCCTGCAGTCTAACTCTGTTGGCCAGCAGAGGCCCTGTGATGTGGAGAAAAATCAATCTGGCCAGTTTCTAGGTGGTTCTGTCCAGGGGCTGCAGCAGGAGTCTGACCTGAGGGGAGGAAGGACACAGAATCTCTAGCCTTGGCTCTTTTTTTCCCAGGGAAGGGAAAGAAACAGAAGAAGGGCCTGAGAAAGGGGCTGGTGTGTTGGGACTCTGTCCAACAGTACTGAGACAGTAAGCACTCACGTAGGTGCCTAAACCTGCCTGAAGCCCAAATGCAGATGTCTGCTCTAGAGGTCCTTTCTCAAATCCCCTCTGGCCTTACCCACCGCCATCATCACCCCTCCATCACTGCTTTCTGACTCCCTTTCTCTTGCAAAATTACTCTTGCCCACCTCCATCCCAGCCCCAACCTATGAGGCAAAAATAAGGATTTTACCTGCTTTTGAATTCTAATAGGCCAGAATAGGAGTTTTTCTTCCTTCCAACTGGGGACCTATTGTGTATGTTGGGGAGAGAGTAGAGTGCACCTTTGGATGCAGAAGCGGAAGGGAAGACCCAGACCTCCCTTGACCCTCCTCTCTGAAAAAATGGGACCTGGACACCCACCTCCATAGGGGTACAGGCAGCTGCCCTTGAAGGCTGAGTGGTGGGCTGGGAATCTTTGCGAAGGTTGTGGGGAGAGGGGAGGAGAGGTGTGCCCCCACTTTGGAGAGAGGATTGTGATGGGGGTGAAGGATGCCTTGGAATAAAGGTGTAAGCACTATTGACTCTCTTCCCTGGACAGTAGACAGGCCCACCTCGGATCCCTTAGCCCTTCCAGGGGGGTGGAGTCCGAGCGAGGGACAGACGGGTCCGGGATGCAGGGGGTGGGACGCAGTGAGTGACTGGGGTGGGGAAGGGGTGAGGACCAGATAATCTCTGAGGGTTAGGGGTGGGGAGAGGAGGCGAGAAAAGAGCAGAGGCGCCGCGGTTCGGCGGCGGGCGCCGCGGAGTGACAGCCCCCAGCGAAGGAAGCCCCGCCCCGCTCCTCCATCGCCGCCCCGCCCAGGCCCGCAGCGCCGCGCTGCAGCGCAAGGGGCGGAGAGGCAGAGCGCCGAGAGAGCACCAGACGCCCAGGTCTCCCGCATCCCGGTGCCGCAGGAGCGAGGAAGCGCGCCTCGGCCCTGTTCCTCAGCCTTCGTCCAGGCGCCCGCCGCGCCTTTCTGAGACCCAGAGACCGAGCACCTGCCCTCCGCCTGGGCCTCAGCTGAGCCCCTCTCCCCCGGAGCACATACGACCCCTGCAGCAGAAGAAGTGCCCCAGCCCCACACCGACGACCACCATGGCCGAGACCAACAACGAATGTAGCATCAAGGTGCTCTGCCGATTTCGGCCCCTAAACCAGGCCGAGATTCTGCGGGGGGACAAGTTCATCCCCATTTTCCAAGGGGACGACAGCGTCGTTATTGGGGTGAGTGCCGCCCCTGGAGGGAATTTCGGAGAGGGGGCGGGAGGCTGAATCTTTTCCCCTGCCGAGCCTCAGCCCCTGCCTGTCTCTGCGCCCTCTCTCCACCGCTCATCCTCCATCCTTTTCGCCGCAGCCCCTCCTCTCCCTGCATCAGGATGGCTGGGTGTGGCCTGGCCAGGCCGGCGGCCGAGTCTCTGCAGAGCGAGAGGGGGCTACTTTCCCGCGATCAGGGGCCGGATTCCCCTTTGCTGCGCTCTGCAGCGTCCCCACCCCTAGAGCCAGTCCCATGTTTTTCTGATGTTTTCCTTCTTCCCTAGGGAAAGCGCATCTTCCCTTTGTTATTGGCTCAGATCTCTACCCCCACCTCCCAGGAAGGGGGAGACTAGTGGATGGGCTAGATGAGAGGTGGGCAGTCCAGGGTCTCTGCGGAGGTATAAATGAGAGTGGACTCTAAGATCAAGGCCTCCATCATTCCCTGAAGTAGTTACAGCCTGGACTTGGGGGGAGGGCACAGGTCTGATGAAGGGTTTTCAGAGAAAGAAATATGTTGGTGCCACACCCAGTTTGGTGGGGGAGCCTCTGGGTCCTAAGGAAATGTCTGCCTTTCTCTCCCAGGTACAGTAGGAGGAGGATTTCAGACCCCCCAGCTCACCCTAACAAATAAAAATAACCAAACCCTGAGATCCTAACAAGTAGTTGCGTATTCATCCTTTCTCTTGATGATCCAATAAAAAGTAGCAAGCCATCTCCTCTACCTCATCATGACAGCCCCTACCCATGGAAGAGACCTTGTTAAGAAGGAGAACTAGTATTTACTGTGTGCTTGTTACTCTACATATATTATTTAATCTTCAAAACAACACTCTGAAGAAGGTATTAATATTTCCACTTTACAGATGAGGAAATTGAGGCCCAAAGAAGTTGAATGACTTTCTCAAGGTCACACTGTTAATTCACGGATCTGAACCTAAATCTGTGACTCCAAAGCTCACATCTTTCCTTCTGTATCACATTGCCTCCACGGTTTTCTGTTCTGGGCTTTTATCTGTGATGGCTCCAAAGGAATTCCTAGGGAATTCCTCACCTACCCCTCCTTTCCTAGATTGGTTGGGACTGTCAGGCTATGGGGTGAAAAGATCTGGGGTTCAGTCCAATAGGGAGTCGGGCTTAAGGGGTGCTGGGCCAGGAAACTGTTGCCAGTTTGAGAAGGGAGAGGCCCATATAAGGACCATCCTCAAGGTCAGGGGCACTTCTTATGTGTCTTTGATCCACAGTGCTTGGCACAGGGCATGCTTGTTAAAAGAATGAAGGAAAAAAAAGGGAGGGAGCCTGGGCCTTCTGAATCAGTGAGATTGGGACTTTGAGTAAACATGCCTTAGGAAGAGACTTGCTTACCTGTCCTGTCCCTAAGGGCCCTAGTCCATCACCAGGCTCTCTCACCCACACTATGGACTCAAATGGGTGCTTTCGCCCTGTGTGTGAGCTTATGTATGTGTGTGTTTGCCACATAGAGAGGGCCCCTGCTTCTCTTTGTCTCAGGGACGTTAGACCTTGCAGTCTGGTCAGTCTGGCCAGGCTAAAATAATGCCTGGATCAACCCTCGGGGCCTCTTCTCTGAATAGTCTGGACAGTGGGCGTTAGCTGTGAGAGTTAGAGCTTGAGGGCCCCCTGAGACATAAAGGCTGAGAAATAGGAGAAAGGTAGTTACGGAGGAACAAATCCACAAAAGGCTTCCACTTTTAAGGCTAGCTTCCTTGCTCTGGGTTTTTTAGGTAAATCTGAACCAACTCCTTTAGGCTCTCTGGGCCAGCCATCCTGGCACGGTGGGCACAGGGCATGGGGTGATGTTGGGAGGAGTTGTGTTGATCTGTCCGATTTGCCTAGCTAAACAGGAGAGACATGGTGGAGGTTGGGAGAGAGGAGAGATGAAGAGAGGCCCAGGGCCCCCTGCCAATTCAGATTCTATCTTACTCCACAGCTGTTTCTTCCTTATCTGTTTTGCCTGATGTTTGCAGGGCTATACCTTTGTCTTGCTCTGTATCTTCCCATGCCCTAGCCCTTCCTGTCAATCTCTCCTGCCAAGATAAGTGCTTATGGGGGGGCCATTTTGTCTCAGGCAGCATCCTTGGAGCTTGCCTTCCCAGCCTTTCTATATTCATTCCTCATTCCGGAGGATGAGGGCTATAGGAGAAGTGATTTTGAGGAGTACCTTGAGGGTCCCAGCAAGGGAAAGAAATCTCCCATTCCCTTTCTTCTCTCTTCCTCTAGCTCCCTTTGGGGACCAGTGTGTGGGAAACTGAGGAATTCATGGAGCAAGCAGCTTCAGGATGTCTGGGAAGGTGAGGGAAGGATGAAGGTGGGAGAGGCTAATCTCTCCAAGCCCAACCCCTGCTCCTTTCTCTGACGGCTCTCCTCTCTGCACTGCGGCTAGCTCTGGGCTACAGAGTCCCTAATGTTCATGGGCTTTTTCTGCTTGGCAAAATGTAGGAGAATAAGCTGGGAAGACAGCCCTGTGAGCCTTATCCACACCGCCCCCCCATGACTTCTCCCAGGAATCTGGGGGATGGAGCTTTGCCCAAGTTAATGGCCTGAGTCATAGTAGAAGGGTGTCTGGGTCACTGTCTGTGTGTGCTATGTACCTTGTTTTGCTCTTTGGGTCACTCAGAATCCACTGTGACTTTTTAAGTGGACCCATTTAAGTGTCTCTCTGCCTTGGTCTTGGTGGGCAGAGTGCCTGCTGTCTGAGCTGTTGCATCTATACCGGACACGACAGCAGGGAAACACATAACCTCTCCGTGCCCCCCCCCCCAGCTTCCTCTGTCCCTCCCCTTCCCTTCCTCCCTCCCTCCCTCCCTCCCTCATTCAAGTATCTACCACATTCTACCTCCCTTAGGTCTCCTGATGGTTAAGTGCGTTCTTAAGGAGGCAGAAAAGCAGGGTCACCAAGTACCTCATTTGGAAAAGCCAGGTTGGGACCGGCAGGATTATTGGAACAGGGTCAGTATTGTTTGAGGTGGCTCAGGATTCCTTTGATGTCTGAAGAGAGGGAGTAGTCTCCCCTTAGCCTTGGGCGAGTCTGTAAAGGAAAATGGAGAGGGGAGGTAATGTTCACTGTGGCCGGTGTCTCTCCAGCATTACCATGGCAACAATCCCCAGGGGTGTCACTATGGAAATCAGTCCTGGTGCTCTGAAGTTCAGCCTCTACCAAGTGCTTTAGCAAAGGTTGAAAAGGTTGGTCGTCTTTGGACCCCTGATCTTAGGCCCTCCCATTAGCTTTAGTCAGCACACACAGTGGAAAACTCCAGAAAGTGCTGGGAAACACAGTTGGACAGGAGACAAGGTAGCTTGGAGAGGTTCAGAGGAGAACAGAGTCCTGGGTTGGGGGACTCTGAAGAGAAGCCCTCTGGAATAGGCACTGAGGAGCGCTTAGACTGCTGTGGGTGGAGACATAGTGGAGCCCAGAGGCATTCCTTGAAGGTGGAGGGTCTCCCTGAGTGTTTCTAACCTAACAGTCTTCTAGTCCCTGACGCTGTACTGAGTCACAGAGTCTTGGATTATTACCTGGAGGTAGAGATGGTGAGGGAGGCTCCTTGGAGAGGATGGGTGGGAGAACTGCATTCTTCTGAAAAAGGGGGTGAGGTTGCCAAAAGGGAGTGATGAAGGGCTTTAGCTCTGTCCAGAAACATTTGGAGAAATGCCCACATGGAGGGGGGCGGGTGGGGTAGGGGAAGGAAAAGCCACGATAAGGATCTGACGCAGTGTTGGTATGTCAGTTCTGGGATCACTTTGGCAGTGTGGGTCTGAAATCAGATTGCTTGGGTTTGAAACCTTGCTCTACCATTTCTCAGCTGTTTGACTTTGGGAAAGCTACCTTACCTCTCTGAACCTCAGTTTTCGCATCTATGAAATGTAATAATAATAGTACCTACTTCCTACGATTGCTGTGAGCATTAAATGAGAGAATGCATGTAAACTGCTTAGCACGCTGACAGGCACATAATAAACTCCCAATAAGAGTTAGATGTTATCATTTTATATGTGCTGTCTCCACACAAGCTAGCCTTTGACACAACTGGGCAGTGGTTAACATTTTCCCCTCTTACTGGTTGTTTCATCCAAACATCCAGGTCCCTAGTATCTTCTTGCTCTCTTCTTCCATCAATATCTGTGCTTCTTCAACAAATATTTACGAAGAGCATCCTGTGGGCCAGGGACTATGCTTGATGTTGGGGATTTAGAGGGAATCCCTGCTTTCAGGAAACACTTGGTCTACACAGTTGATCCAGGCTGAAAAGTGGCCTGGGCAGAGTCCTGGGAGGGGGCATCAGAAATGGCTTTTGCTAACTGTACGTACACTTCCCCAGATTCTGATAAGAAATCTCCCACAATGTACTACAGTCTGACTTAGAATAAATATGTGTCATGAAAGATGTGAATAATGGTGATGCTTCCCATGTGAGTAGTCTAGAAGTGGAAAACTGCTGGTCTAGTTATTCTCATAAAAAGATCTGACAAAACGAATTCACCATGGCTGTAATCAATAGAAAATTAAAAGACATTTGTACTTCAACAGATATAAAAATCTTAAGAAATGAACTAGATTTGGGACTCAAGGGCTCAACTGAGAGTAGGGAAGTGGTAGAAGGCCTTCCCAGAAACCCTAGAATTGTATCCATGGCTTTCTCTGCTCACGAGATTACTAAGTGCACCCATTTTTAGCTCTTGGATATTTTTTATCCTCATGGTTCCGAGAATGCCACCCTTCCTCCCTCTCTGGTCTCTTCCTTCCTCCCAGCCTAGGCTGAGGAAAAGGAGTTCCTCGGGCAATAATTGCCTTCAGCACTTGGAGAGCACCCTCCATTTCATTGAGTCCACAGCACCCTCTGGAATCCTGTAACTGGGAGTGTTAGAGAAGAGAGAGAGAGAGAGAGAGTTAATCCCCACGTTCCCAGAAGGGAAGAAGGGAGGGACGAGGTTGGCTTGAGAGTTACGTTTAATCCCCT